AGGGGACGCTATTCATATGATAAAAATCAAATTCGCCGAGTACCTTCAACGCAAATGGGACCAACATCATGCTGCACATATGTATGCGATCAAACGAGAACTTAGAACATGGGTCACATGTAACCAACCAGACAGGATACGCGAGGTGACCCTGGCCAGATTGAGGTGTGGTCATACTCGCCTCACCCATGGCCACCTTTTTGATAGGACGGGCCCTCCGATTTGCCACACCTGTGACACACGCATCTCCGTAGAGCACATTTTGATCGCATGCACGGCATTGCATCACGAACGAAGACACATCACTAACTATCTTGCGGTACAACACCTTAAAAACGACCTCCCGACGCTTCTCGGGGACGACACAACATTGACAAACCTGGTACTTGATTTCGTCCTAACATCACCCTACTCAGAGCTACTTTAACGGCCTTGACTGTTAGCAGGCGCCCGTTTCGCTACCACCAGGCTGACTTGTGATACGGGATGGGTCGGGTTTTTCGCTGGTGCCGAAACACAGAGCTTCGGTGGCAGACGGGTTTTCTCCTGCCGCTGGAGCAGGCTTAGAGGCTCAGCGGCCCAGCGAGCTACACCAGCGGACCCCGGCCGCTGAACAGCGGCGGCGGCCGGGTTGAACGACCACAGACAACCGTCGGCCGCCAACTGCAGCAGCGACAGATTCCCCATCCTCCAAACCATTCCTTTCATCGTGACTTTCACATTCACAAACCCCATCCCTCCCACTGGCTCCCAGCGACATATCCCCCACTCTTCAAACCATTCCTGTCATCCAACTCTCGTAACCTTACCATTCACAAACTTCCTCCTTCCCTCCCTTCACAAACATCAATTTACCGGTAAGTTTCACTGTCATTTATGTGTCTTAACGTAAATTCATGGGTTTTTTCCCATATTCATGGCATAGTACATGGATATGGGTTTTCCCATGTTGTCTTGCTGTAAAAGTGGCCACCGGTCTTAGTTAGGACGGCCGGTTTGTTTTGCGCGGTATAGTTAGGTCGCCTTTAGGGCCTTGAGGTCGCCGCCCTCCTCGCGAGGCCGGTAACGTAAGTTAGGGCCACTAAAAAAAAAAGTAGTTTCAGTTTATCCCCGCGTTCGATGTCTCTGGGACGACGAAGATTCTACGCCGTCCGGCCAATCACGTTCCATAACCGCAGCCGAGCCCCCGCTGACCTTGGACGGGATTGGCCGGACGACAAAGAATCTTCGCCGTCCGAGAGACATCGAACGCGGGGTATGTCAGTAAAAAAAAAGTTTATGTATATGGCCTTGGTTTAGGCTCTCTCTATCGCCTGGATAAAAATAGGCCCCGCCCATCCCAATCAGCTGCTGCATGACGAGTTGATGACGACAACCACTACTTACCAGCAACCAATCTAGGGATAGCGTACGTGACAGTAATGGTGCAGCGGTTGCAAAATATTACATTGTTATTCAAACGGTTTTTGCTATTAGGGCCTTGTTAGATGAGGATGAGGTTAGATTAGATGAGGTGTTGATGAAGGCAGGTATTTTTTAAAAATATTTTTTTGACAATTTTTTGCCCTTGTTTTACTTAATAGCTGAACCCGGGACCACCTGAAGTCTAAACCTTATTTTATATAACATGTCAATGCTGATGCTGTCTTGAAATCAAAATGTGAAATTTAGACAATGGTAATAGGAATAATGAATAGCAATTTCACCAACAACATTTTAATCTCTAGGAAGTGCAATTAAAATTGAAATCACTGTCTGCCACACTGCTCCATCCTGGTCATGCAACCAACGTTCATGGGTGGTGTTTCACGGCAGAGCACGCACTGCAGTGCTCAGCACTGCAGTGCGCTGCGTGTGTCAGAGCATTGGGTTTCCATGGCAGTGTCAACAAACTTCACTGTGACGCTAAGCTATGACAGCATCCCAGAACGCTAGCACGCTGCGGTACCAGCACCAGCAGCATGCTAGCAGTATTTGAACTCAAACCTCTGTTCTTGGTACGGTTTTTCAGAACCTCTCACTCTGTTCCAAACGCGATTGATCATAAACTAAGAGGTCACATGCAACGTCATTTGAGTGATGCTATGGTATGCCGTAGCTACCAGTGCACACAGTGTCTGGATGGTGAAACAGGGCCATTATTAATCACATTTGCTTTGCTTTGTTTCAGCAGAAACCTGTCTGCACATGGGAGGAGCGCAACAAAAGCCCATCAAGTTCATGCATGGCAGTGGATCTCAACAGGAGAAAACCAGAAAGAACATGGATGCTTGTAGATTGCAGTTGTACACTGCTGTTATCACCTGATGTGCGTGGCTGGCATTGCTCCTGGCAAGAACCACCTGCAAGTGATGAGATGGTGCCTCAGTCGTTGAGTGTGCTGCAGTGTGAGAGGCGCCCTGATCTCTACTTTGTGATGGGTTTCCATTGGAGGTTCAACTGAGAAGTGAGAACTGACTGTGACCATGCTTGAGCATGCCAGTGGAGCTTTACATGCTTAGGGCAGCTTTTGAACAGATGCTGACCATGGCATGTCCCATCCAGTTATCACGTGCACAGAATGGTGGGGGGGAGGGCAACTCTGGGCTCTTGAGTCAGCCCTACTGCACAGGGGGTACAGATGGCCGCTTACGTTTGGTGTGTCCTGCACTGCATTATCAAGCCCAGTCTGCGCCACAGGCAATGGGTCGGGCTGCACTATGTTAAAGGCAGACTATCTTGCAAAGGAGGCTGGCATCCTCTCCCATAATGACACACCAATTGGCAATCATCGCTGCGATGATCACGAGGGTGTCCGCTTATCTAACATGGTGAGGTGGAGAGCCAGTTCAAGCTGGCCTGAGGGATGGTTTTACTTCATCTGAGGCCCCCTTTCCCCGCCTGCCAGGTCCGGTCAAACGACCGCTTCACAGTGAACGACTTGCAGTGGATGCCGTCCCACAGCGCAACGAGCTCGCCGACCAGAGGCGGCGGCCAAGAGGCGGCCGCGCTCCCCCAGTCGACGGTCCCGGTGGACGTCGGCAACGCCCACCGCGCGACCATCAGATCGGCTCGCGACAGCGCCGTCGCCGACTGACCGCATGACTGGTATCTGTTCTTGATGTGGGACCGACTGCCACCGCCGGTCGCGGAAGGGCATCGCTCATCGGCCATCGACGTCCGCCAGCTTCGCGTGGGTCACTGTTCGGGCTGCCACCAATACACCGAATCGGATGGAACCCTGTCGGCGAATGCCGGCGGTGCCCCGACATCGACTGCGCGGCGGCCAGTGCATCGCGTGCCGGGAGGAGGCTGGCACCCCCGATCGGTCATTGGTCACAAACCGTGTCCCAGCTCATGACTGCATCCAGCGCAGCTCTGTGAGATGTTCTGCAGCTGCTGCAGTCTGCCGCGTGTGTTGAAAGAAGAATGAACATGAGAAAACCTCAAAACTTTATGCCTATTCGTAATTGACCAGTATTGGAATAAGTTTGGATTTTGAGAATTTGTGTCCCTGTGCTTGTGCCTGTGTGGAAAGGCATGCTTTACGGTGTACCATCTCAATGTCAAATCCCGGCTGCGCTGTGCGGATTTGTGCGGCTGCTGACAGGCCACCTGGGTGCCAACGTATGTGCGAATCCGCGAATACGTTGTGTTTCGTCAGTCAGTATCGTTCTGAAAATATTGACTAGGCTATATAATAGGCTATATAGCGTATGACGGTTCAGCCCAGCAGTAATAACTGACCATTGATTGGGCGAATTTTGTGTGGTGGTTCGCTAATACATAACCTAAAGAGTGTTTTGCCGGAATCGTTTAGTAGCAGAACTGACCGGAATATAAGTAGAATGCAACGGTTTGAATCGTTAATTTGTTGAAACGATTGTTCTCTGAGACCACTGTGTAACTTTTGACCTGAGAATCACCAATTATAACGACAATGGGGAAGCAGTAGGCTGTACTGTAGAGTGTAGGCAGGCAACACTATATAGTTGGCACACTTACGAAAGCACACGACTTACGCAGTGGACATCTGCATCATGCATGTTAAGGTTTACTGGGAAGAGTGAGAAATTAGTCAGAATATAACTGACTAAGGAAAATAGGCGATATTTCCTATTGAGCTGGGGCGGAGAGGGGGAGGGGACGTGTGGTCAGCTATGCTAATAATTCATTCTCTTTATGCAGCTGTGTAAAAGGGCGTCCGTTTTTGGGTGAGACCTTCCCCATCGGCCATTTCCAAGTTAAATCGTGGTGGAGAGTCTGGAGACCTCAGCCTCGGTAGTCGGTACCCTGCGCGCTGCGCCACCTTGCGAAACATAAAGCAGCAGTCCTGACATCTACAGGCGTGACTTTTCATGAAAGCGCGGATGTGTTCGCGCTTATGCGAAGAAAGTTCTTCCGAGTATGGTTGATAATGAGATTAATTGTTGTCATTTATTTATTAATTCATTGGCAAAAGTACCCTAATAAATCGGTAAAATAGCTTGAACTGTATCGTATTTCCTTCGGAAAAAATGACGAACTCATCCTAAGACATCCAGATTATTGGATGCGTTCGTCAGTTGTAAGTAGTTCAAGTTTTTGGGAAAATTTGCTTGTGGAAAATCATAATATTTCAAAGATATGCCTATTTTCGAATAATTTATGCATTTATCTGCATTGAAAAATGATTGTAAAGCAAAAGTGCAAAAGATTATTGTCAACTTATTTTCTCAAATCACGATTTACGAACGCACAAAACTCCAGCTTTTAATTTAGTGCGTGTGCGAATTGCGGTCAAGAAAAAATATTTAAACTGTCTATATTCCTCTTAAAACAATGAAGGATGAATGAAGAAAACGCTGTTTTGAACAATTGTATATTTATTTTTTCTTAATTAAGCAAAAGTACAAAATTTTCAACTATTATTACATTTGCTCTCACAAAAACCATCACTTTTTAGCATGACGTCATGTCAGCCAAATTTACTAGCGCCATCTCTGGAGAGCATCTTTCGAAACCTCCAGACGATAGAGAGAGCCTTGGTTTATGTTGTAGGATTTCAAAAAAAAAATTAGGTTGGACCGGTTGGACCTCAACATTTTGGGTTGGAGGTTGTATGTGAGGCTAGGTTGTAGGTTTGCGGGTTTTAGGGGTTGTAGGTTGCAGGTTTGTAGGTCAGGCTTTAGGTTGGTAGGTCAAGGTTAAAGGTTTGTAGGTAAGGTTAGGTCAGGTTTGAATTTTGATTGTTTTTTTCTTTTGTTTGGAAGATATGTAAGTATCGTTTTTGGATTCAGGATGTCAAATAATGTAAGGATATGAAAATTGAATCCTTGAGCTCGATGAGAACGGGATCTCCACGCCAAGTCAAAGTAGGTAGCCTTTTTTCCCGACTAGGTACCAACAACAACAAGGTAAGGTAAGGTAAGGTTGAATATGTAGTTATCTTGACTTTTTAATGGTGAAAGTTAAAATATCAAAACATTTTGTTGTATTTTTTCAGGTTTACTGGAAAAGATGTCTGGTCTTGGGAGACTCGTCCTATCCGCAGCTCGCTGCCGGTCTTCAGCAGCTGCAGCTGCGGCAACTGATCTGAGGTTCAATGCTGGGTAAGCCATGGCAGAGAGTTTGCGGTGTAATTTTTATGCTTGTGAAATAGAATGATGAGTTGGAAATTTTGGTTTATTTTCTTGAGTTTATGGTTTGATTTCAATTAAGTATTTGTCAAACACATTGCTATTGATTAGGATGTGGTCAACACACTGTAAAGCCTTAATAAACAATAACTATGATCTGGATTGTAAGAGGTTAGAGTCACTGGGGTGGGACATTTGATACAAAGATGCCCTGGCCATAAGTATGACTACAACATATACGCTATGACCAAAGAGGTTAGGTATAAGTTTGCTATGGAGATGCTTCTAACTCAATATCCAGGTACTTATATTTAAGCCTTAGTGTGTTGTTCATGCCAAATGGTCAGGAAGCAGTGCTTTGCCTTTTTCATTTTATTTTACTTCCTTGCAATTGTAACTTATTTTAGCTGCATGTCAGGCCTATATTCACGGTTAGAGACATAAAACAGTTTTGCTCAAAATGCAGTTTCTTTATTATTAGTCCCTAATCTTCTGCAGACACTTGAGCTATTTTCTCGCTGAGTTTCAAGAAGTAAATCAATGGTAACAAATTTTATCATAAAAAAGGTTGCATAGAACTGCAATACATAATGTGTTAACATTACCTTAGGTAGGTATGTTGCCTAATGCCTACTTGTTTGGTGCTTTCCTTGTGAAGAATGGTACCATTTGCTTATTTTTGCAATGTTTTGTAATATTTAGCTTAGAATTCATGATCATTTGATTCGTGCTATTAGACTTTTCATTAGAGATTCGTGCTATCACTATTTCATCCCGTACTTTGTCGCCATACCGTTGAATCCAAGGCCATATATAGTACGCCTGAATCTCTCCTGTCTTCGCCCATTTTACCGGTGCTGCCACCAGACGTCGGCCGGCGTCAGCTGTAGTTGGCATATCGGCCGTACAGCGGCGCCACCATCGCAACATGGCGCACGGCCCCCAGCCGCCGGCGAGTCGCGGTTACCGCGCCTACCAGCTGCTGATCTGTGGCATGCTACTGGCGGCCATGTTTAACTGGAAACTGTGAGTACCGTGTGGTGAATGGTTAGTACCGTGTGGCGAACGCCTAGTGCCGTGTGGCGAACGGTTAGTGCCGTGTGGCGAACGGTTAGTGCCGTGTGGAACAGCGTGTTAGACAGTGCGACTGCGTTCAGCCCTGTAAAATCATTTTGTGATACTATCGTATGGTTATCAGTAAGATGATAACATTTTTATTCACATATTACATTGCACATATAGTCTATGACCTCTCATATTGGACGTCTGACATCTTTATCACCCCTAATCATGTACAGGTCTCGCGGGTTTTAGCGGTAGGTTTTGCACCTAGAAAATTTAGTGTACTTCAGGCTATATCTTCGTCGTCTTAAGCTTTTAAGTGTTGAAGATGCGATCGACTTGTTGGATAACAAGCCGGCCATGATCGTGTAAAATGGCTTCATCGTAGATCGATTAGTTTCTGAGATATGACCGGAAATGTAAAAGTGCAAAACCTACCGCTTAATCTCGCGAGACCTGTACATCTGACCTGAGTTCTGGCCCCTCATCTGTTACATCTAACCTCCAATATCTAACCTCTCACATCTGACCACTGCACTGGCCTGGCAGCTCTCACATTTGACATCTGACCTTGCAACTTTTCACATCTTACATTGCAAACCTCCCACATCTAGCCTCTCTGACCTCATATCTGACCTCTGACATCTGATCCCTCATCTCGCGCCATTGTTCTCTCTGGCCACTGACCTGTCATATCTGGCCTGTCTAACCTCTGATAGATCACTTCTAACCTCTAACCTCCCACTCACACTTTGCGCCATATAACCCTCAGAGGTTGGGCACGCCATCAAACCCAATCGTCATCATCATCACCACTCACACTTTGACATCAGCTGACTTCTCCAACCACTCATCTAACCACTGGCCCGTCACCTCAATCTAACCTCGCTAATCTTATTCTGACCTCAGACCATTCACCCTGACTGCGCACATCTGACCTTGGTATCTGACTCGTCTGACATCTGACCCTGTTCTCTGACCCCGTCTCGGAACAGAGCCGCTGAAATCTGGAACCGCAAGACAGCCGTCAAGGCCAAACAAGTGGAATCTCGAGACAAATCCAACTCAGAAGATGGAGAGCACTCGGAAAGTGAGGAGGAGGAAGACGAGGATGATAAGAAGGGAGGTGGAAAAGTTGGCTTCAGAGATAGAAAGGTGAGAAAATAGGGAAATTTGGATGAAGTAGGGAAAAACGGGAGAGGTCAGGGATTTAGGAGTGAGTTAACCATCTCTGTAGCCTCGTCGAGCTAACCTTATAGGACAATATCTATGTAGGGAGTTAACTAATTATAGCCTAGTATTCATATTACAACAAAAGACGAAATTCTGAAAAGGACTTCGTGTTCTTGCATTCACAGTTCACACAAGGATAGGAAAATAGGAATGTGAACAAGTTCGTGCTAAAGAGAAGGGAATCTGTCCCATACAAGGAAGTCTAAGAGCTTGAGATACAATTCCGGAATTGAATATATCCGAGGTAACCATCCCGGGCACGGTGGTTCTTCAGGGCATCAAGGCCGTGGAAGCCGACCAGCAGGGACCCTTCTCTTCGGTCCATTATTTCAGAAAGTAATGGTGTTTGGATTGATGATTTTTTTAGGGGGGGGGGTAAGAATTGATTGCCACCACCCTCAAAAGGGGTATGGGCGCAAAATGACCTTTGCTGTCGGCGCGCCCTAAAGCGCCAATAAACAAACAAACAAATACCCTCAAAAGGGGGCACTGTGCCTCCGTAGCCCCCCTTTCTCGCTTCTGCCGCCCCTGATACTAGCGAAGCAATAAGCCATTCTGCAAATGGTTGCTAGAACCCAAGTTTTTATCTGGCAATCATGCTCCTTTGACTTTCAAACCCTTCCAGCTTTTTTAGTCCGATGACAATGACATTAACAATTAGTGTAGTCCACATCTTTTATCTTTGCTGGCCTCAATCTCACCTTATCTCGTAATTCACCCCTTTTATTTGCAGATTATCGAGTACGAAAACCGAATTCGACAATACTCGACTCCTGACAAGATATTCCGCTATTTCGCAACATTGAGAGTGGTGCAAGAGCTACCGGATGGCACCTCCACTTCTGAGGTGTACATGACACCGCAGGATTTTCTGCGATCGATCACACCCGGGGTCAAGCAGCCGGAAGGTCAGTAGAGCTGAGGGATTTTGGGAACGGAAGGTCAGTAGAGTTGAGGGATTTGGGGAACGGAAGGTGAGTAGAGTAGAGGAATTTGGGGAACGGAAGGTCAGTAGAGCTGAGGGATTTGGGGAATGGAAAGTCAGTAGAGTGGAGGGATTTGGGGAACGGAAGGTCAGTGGAGTGGATGGATTTGGGGACCAGGTTGGTGTGGAGTGGAGGGATTTCGGGACTCCTTGGTTGGTTGGTGTCGAGTGGAGGGATTTCGGGACCAGGTTGGTGTGAAGTGGAGGTAGGGTAGGGTGGGGTAATTTGAACATGTGGGGCAATTTGAACATAGTGTGAAAAACACAAAATTACGGAAAATCCATACTGGCATGACAATATGACCAATGAGGGAAATTATCGTAACTAAAAGGGCTATGATATGAACGGGGTTTAAAGTTGCATCGAATGAAGATGCTGGCGCACACTGTAAAAAATCATTTTCGCAAGTGAACACGCCTAAAAACACGTCATTGCAACTTCATTGCAGCGCAAAATCTTGCATTGCTAGCGCCTAATACGCAACGGATTTTGTTGTACAATGTCCTAATCAGTGCCTTCAATCCAAGAAATTTGCTTTTGAAACCTGTTTTTAAATATGGCAAAATAACTTTTAGCGTGGGGTAATTTGAACATAGTGTGGGAATTTCAATGAAGACAGGGATAGCTCCGAAAAAACAACGCTCCCAGTTTTTTTTTGCCAATATTTTCGACTCAAAGCAGTAGCAGAAAAGTGATGCCAGTTTTATAAAATTTACGTCTAATATCCGTCTAATGTCCGGCATTTTTGTTGATTTCCGTTCAAAAATGTTAATGTCAGCCATTTGTCCAAATATGTCCGAAAATTACGCATTAATAAAAACTCAAAACTGTCATTTAAATTGTTTATAATGTACTTTTACCAGCCGAGAAGTGTTCATTATATTGAGAGCTTAACAAGCTTTCCATTCGCCAATCAATGCTATGTACGATTACTTTATAAAAAGCGCTGAAGTGTAGCAAGCCATCGTCCAATGTTGTCCAGTCTGCTACTTTGTCCAACCAATTTCGAATTGGACATTGGACAAAATCAGAACTCCAAATGTCCTGGTTTCGATTGGCACCACTATAACAGATGCAGTAAGGATGGGAGAGTTTTTATCGAACAAAAATGATAGACGTTCTGTTAATTGAAGACAGGCGAATTCTGTCAACTGACTGGTGTGCAGCGTGCAGATATTGATACTCTGCAACTGTTATTTTTGTTGTTGTGTTGATTTTTCAAATGAAGGTATGTTTAGCCTATTCGTTTATGGGTCAAACAACATCGGCGTTGGGGAGACTATCGTTTTTATGTCAGGTAAAGGCAGTATGTTCAAATTACCCCACGGTAGGGCCATTTGAACACACCGTGACTTGGTGGAGAAGTGAGGCTATGCTATTCAAGGCACGCTCGGCTCGTCCAAAAATGAGGCTTGCATGGTGAAAGCAAGTGACACTTGCGCTACTGAAGCAGTTTTTCTTCATCCAGGGTTAAGCTGAAATTTGGTACAACGGAGAAGACGTAAAAATATGTTCAAATACCCCACACTACCCTATTTCGATAACCAGTGTTGTGTCGATGTGGACGGGCTTTATAGAGCCCCCCCCCCCTCCACCGTAAAAAATGTTGAAGAATTGGCACGAAAGTGATGTCTGTTGTTCTGAAAGTGCAACAATGAATGTATACCAAATTTCACCAGAAATATTCACCAGTTTTAAAGTTTTTTTTCAAGGTTCACTTTAACTTTTTTGGGCGGACCTCCGCTGCTCCTATGACGTCATTCGGAAGCAATAATTTGGCTTTCTAAAAGTGCGGCAGGTGTTGCGCGCAAAGCAGTATATGCCACCACGTTTTACCATAGGTTTTAGTATAAGATTTAAAAATCGCTAGGTCTGCGCTGACGTCACAAAGTCAAAGCGGCATTCAAATTCATTGGTCCCTCTGCATTCGAGTGCTGAATGCTTTGATATCAAATGTCTCCGATTTAAGGTATTTTTCGATGTTGTAAGTAAAATTGCAGCCGTGCAGACCCGTACTGCGGCTGGGGTACTCGGCGGTACTAGCCCGCCTATCTGACGTCCTTCCTGGCCGGCTGCAGCTGCAGTGGCGCCGTCACCCTTCCTGTGTCAGACACGGCGGTTTGGGGCAGCGCTATCGCTGGACCCCGTCCGGTCCGCGATCGTTGCTTTTGTTCTGGTTCTTTCTATATTATATTATATTTATTACAGGCAATCCGCAATCCGTTAAATCAGACATACTAAAATATTTGGAGATTCTATAAAATATCTGAACCCACCAGGCGTTATGTAGAATGACTAGCATTCTGTGGAATACCTAATATTCGAGCATTGTATATAATGCGTAAGGAATTAACGTTACTTTTTTCTCGCATGGGTGATGGTGCGCTAGATAAAGATAATACACCAATATGTAGTATGACTATTTTATGCCAGGTCACATTGCGATCAGTATGTAATTGATATCAGAGTCAAATATTCAAGCTAGCCTTATGAGGTCAAACTGTACATCATTATTCAAGCTTTATTCTCATAATACCGAGTATGCGTCCTAACGCTAGGGTGGCGATGGCGGTTAAGACAATGTCTTACAAGATTTTGGTCGAAGTTGTTAAAAAAAAGCTTCGCTAAACCATCATTTTCGGACTTTTTATCGGGTCTTTTGGTAGCCAAACTATCAGTTTAAGGTCTAACTTAACACAGCTACGAGATGTCGAATAGTTTTGTCCACAATATCTGAGCTCCATCAGTTCATGACTTTTCAAGCAATATGTTCAAGCACTTCACGAGGACCACAACGTGGAAAAAGTAGCGGCGGAACACCTTCAATTAAGGGGGGGGGGGCACTGCCGACTTTTGGTCCCATCCTGTCCATGCAACGTCCATAGGGCTAATGTTAAAATGCCAAAATCAAAGGAGGGCACGGTGCCCCGGTGCCCTCTCCGTTCCGCCGCCTATGGTATGCGTGGAAAGTGGTACCTATGATGACCTCATGGTGACCTTGTCGGTGACATAACTTAAAATGGGTGAATTAATATTCACGTGATTTTAGCAACCTTTTGAATGTCGCCAAGGCATAACTGGAGTATTTTTTTCATAATTTGACGACCATCGAACACCGCTTGTCGCTACGTGTAATCACTTGCTGTATAAAAACTTGGAAGTGTGAAGACTACACGTCAAAATACTTGCCTAAGGTGGTCGCTTGGCCGTAAAACTGGTGATTTTTGTTAGTCTCAGCTCAAGCTACAAAACTGTTATTCCACTTCAAAACCCCATGTTGAAAGTGGTATAGTTATTTCCTTTAATGGGGTGCTCCGATTAACCGGAGTAGTCGGTGTTATTTGACTGTGTGCGTGAAATCATCTGTTGGTTCAGATGAAGACTGAGGAGCTTCACAATTCACCATTCTTCACTCAGAAAACAAAAACGTTATTTGCAGGTTTGACTGTAGGTGCGACTTTTTTGCACTGCACAAGAGACGCAGATCCCTGTGGATTATACTGGGTGAATTGTGAGCATGATTAATGATAAATGCTGCACCACCTCTCAACTGGGTGGAGACACGTCTAAGTCTTAGACGCGTCTAGCTAGACAGCGGCTTCGTCTATCTGGCGACAGCTAACTTTAGACGCGCCTAGCTTGGAAGTCTCCGTCCAACAGTTAGACGCCAAGTTGGACGTCCGCTCAGTTAGACGCCAGTTGGACGCCAGTGGAAGTGTCCACCCTCTCTGGTTTACACTGAACACTGCTCCTACCATAATCTGACCTTGACCCTCTCTGACCCGCCGCAGGTCTCGGTCTGGACCAGTATCGCCGGTTTGACCCGAAGGTAGGTCGGACGGGACAGCCCCTCACCCCTCTGCCCTTCCCCTCATACTCTGTCTCTGCCCATATTAGGGCTGGCTGGAGACATATTTCGCTGTGCTCTGTACGCGTTGTGGTCTTTATTTGCTGCTCCGCCTAAGCCCTAAAGCCAGTGTCGTTTTAGGTGCTGTGTAAGTGGTCCTTAACCCTCGCCCGCACATGCCATTTTCCCATCCTAGAACGCACATGGGGGGGGGGGTGGTTGCCACCCCCCCCCCCCCCCGCGCCATTTCGTTCCTGTTGGAGATAGAGCTTAGCAGTAAAGACCAAAAAGATTCTTTGGGAAGAGACGAATCCAATGATACCCAGTTTTACCTTCTCAGGTCAGTCATTGACCTTCCAGGTCAGGTCAAACTAAAAAATGTTGCTGTTTTGGGTCACCGTTGGATATCAAGTGTGCTGCTTATCAAATACCGATGACGATGCTGTTTTCTGGTGCCAAGCCAGCTAGAACCTCTTTGTCACACTACCCGACCAGAACTTTGCTGCTGAGGTCATTTCAGGTCAAGTTAGGTCAAGGTCAATTATATGTGTTTGTATGTCTGTGTGTGTCTGTGTGTATACTGATGTGTGCACCGATTGTTTTTGGGTCCATAGGTACATGAAATCATGATCTGAGAAGCTTTTACCAAAAATGCAGTCAAAAAACTTCAAAAAAGTAAATTCAGCTAGCCTAAAACGCAATTATCTTAGATGACCTAGGTTGACCTTGACCCTGACCTTGACCCCTGTACATCGTCGAACAACATGTTCCATGATAGGTGGGAGGTAAGACTGGCAAAAAAGGCCGAAATCAGGGTGTCAAAAGCTCATAAGGCCCATGGCAAACGCAAGATGTTGAGAATTGGCCATTTGGGTCATGACATGACCTGAAAAACAAGGTCATATCTCCGAAACCAAAAATCACAGAAACTTGAAATTTTCAGTGGTCATCAAGAAAAGATAGAGGAGCAGTTATACGAAAAATCAGCCTTCTAGCTCTAAAAATGTTGAGTGCAGAGCAGAAAGACTACCTGGGGGGGGGGGGTGGCAACCCCCCTATGTGCGGGCGAGGGTTAATAAGTTACTGCGCTGTGCTTGGTGATGTATTATGTACTGTGTTGTGAGCTGCTGTGTAGTGTAATAGTATTTTGAATCAGTGTCATTTGTCACTTGCATGTCGCGGAATCACGTTAATTTCACTACCGCTTTTTATTCGGCCTGTCACTGTGACACCCTTGTGATCGATATGACCGGTTATCACTATCATCATTGGCTACAGCGATCATCATTGCATTCATGTGTCTCGACGTTTTATTCATGCCAGTATGTGTGTTTGCGTGTGTGTTTTTCTGTCATAAGCTTCCCGATATTATATTTTAGCTTGCTTGTAAGAGGGAAAAATTCCACACAAAAAATTGGTAATGGAAGTGGGATGTTTCTGGTGAGAAAGGGCCCAAAAATAGTGAGAAAATGATCGACAACATTTATTTATATACAATGATGTTATAATGTGGGAGGGTAACGACCATCTGCATCGGCTTTTTAACGATAAAATTGGAAGTGGAAAATAGCTATGAAATATTGGAGGTGAGAGTGATGGTGGTTTTCAATTTTATGTCATTTTCTACCCAAGGCAACACAATTTTTGGGATACTCTAGTCATCCCTGTTGGGCGTTGGCTCCCAAGATATCTAAGATGTCAAACGCATCCACATATCGACACCTTTTTTTAAACCCCACATTTGTTCTCCGGTGAATTTCAGACAAGTTGGTTAGAGACCTTCAAAAAAGGTACAATCACTCTATTTTTCTCAAGTTTGTCTGTCTTGGCAGATAAAGCAATACCAGAACAGGCCTACGAACACACATATTTGATCAGGATCGGACAATTGGACACTTTTAAAAGGAGATCTTTCGTGCCTCCCGGGAATTCACGGGAGAGCAGATGTGGGGTTTAAAAAAAGGTGTCGATATTATCTCATTGAATGTGTTTGTACTTTTGGTGTTCAGTGTTCAACCACCGCGCTATATTTCTATCATGGATAAAATACACCTTGTCTTTATCTAATCCATGCTTGTCTCTACCCCTAGTGAGTCTGCGTTCCCTTCACCCACACTCGTCTGTATGTGTGTCTGCGCCCGCCTGTGTGTGTGTGTGTATGTATCCGCTGGTGTAGCACCAATGCCTATTGCAGCACCACCACCACCAGCACCACCCGGCTAGCCACACCACTGGTGCGGCATCTGGTTCCTCGGAGTCCCATTCGGAGACGGTAAAAAGTCTAAAGCTAGCATCCGCCGCCGCCCGCCGCCTCGGTTTTGTGAAGGCCGATGGTGGTTGGGAAGGCGCGGTAGCGAGTTATACAGCATTGCAGAGACTGCTATTTCTCTCTCTCCTTTTTCTCCAATCTTTTCGCTCTTAATACCTCTCTCTGCTCACTTCTTTCTCCGTAGTATTCGGCAATACCTGCTGCTCGCTGTTCTATCAGACTAAAGCACAGTACACCACAGTCTTGCTAGTATTTTCTAAAGACTGGTGGATCAACCACTCGCAGAAAATAAGTCGACTTTTTCTCCTATCCCACGGGCGTAGGAACGTCATGAAAAGTGGGTGGGCCACCCTGTCAAGGGGCCTCCTTTTCCAGGGGGCCTCCTTTTTTCAGGGGCCTCCAACTTTTGCCTCGTCCTGCTGGCTGCTTTCAAGTATGACCTCCAAATCTAGCTGCTGAGATCGGGCAGATGTACCCAGGGGCCAGGGGCGTAACCGCGAACAGTGCGGAAAGTCCGCACCATTTTTAAAACTTATTCCCCCTCCGACTTTTTTAGAATCTATTTGCCGCAAACGGCGCATGACCCCTGAAAACCCTTACAAAAATGTCTCCCTCGTTTCCCAGGTGCCCCCATTAGCTTCATAGGCGCCCTCTCTGGCATATAAGCGCCCTATGTATAGTCATCAGAGACATTCCTATATGTCCCACAGTTGCCCCGTTGTCACATACAATGTGCACTTATCATAGGCGTCTCTCTTTTATGGACACTTGAAGGCGCCTCTCTTTGCCATGCCGGCGCCCCTGTTTCTTATGAATGCACATTGCACCCCCATGGCATTGATCAATTGCAGTCTGCAGACCTCTATTGCATGTGGAAGCCCATATATGTAGGCCTCAGAGGCGCCCCTCTTTCGCATTGAGGCGCCCCTATGGGCTTCATAGGCGCCCCTCTGTTGCACGTATAGGAGCCCTACTGTCTCAGAACCGCTCCCCTTTGGCATGCAGACGCCCATCTTTCGTACGGAGGAGCCGCTGTGGTTCTTAGAGACGGCATGGTGCTCCCATGGACGCAGATAGGGCTCTCGGAGTCGACAGTGTGGGACCTTCAGTCGCTGATGGGTGCCCGCCAGATGTGAACCCTCGGAGACGCCGGTATGGGGCCCTCAGAGTTGCCGGTATGTGGCCCTTAGAGACACAGGTGTGGAGCCCTCAGATACTTCAGTGTGAAGCCCTTACAATTGCTGGTGTGGAGCTATGAATGCGCTGGCTTAAAGGGACCCTCCCACCTTAACATTAGATTTGAGTTGAGATAGCCAAAATGGGGTCCCTGGCTCACAATTACCGGTTTCGGCACTCACAACATCGAGAAATGCCTTAAATCGGAAATATTGAATTTCAAAATTGCAGCATTTTGATTCAGAGGGGCTAATGCATAGGAATACCCCTCTGAATGTGTGACGTCAGTGCAGATATCTAACGATTTTTAAATGTTTGACTAAAACGTTTTGTAGCACGCAGTGGTATATGCTGCTTTGCGCGCAACAAATGCCGCACTTTCAAATAAAGTCGCTAGGAACAGCGGAGATCCCAAAAAGTAAACAAAAGTAAAAGTCTAATATCTTGAAAACCTGTGAATATTTTTCGATGAAATTTGGTAGATATTCGTTTTTGCTCTTTCTGAACCGAGCGACATCACTTTCATGCCAATTCATTAACTTTTTTGAAGGTGGGAGGGTCCCTTTAAATCCCTCAGAGGCCGGTACTTGGACATTAGAGCTCAGTAAGAGCTTGTGTGTGTGGTGCCTTCAGTGGCCTTGTGGAGCCGTTAGACATCAACATGGTGCTCTCAGGAGCCGGTGAGTCCTCAGAGTCACCGGTGTGGGGCCTTCAGAGCTCCGAGATACTGGTGTGGGGCCCTCAGAGGTGTCGGTGTGGGTCCTTCAGATGTACCTATAGAGCCTTGAGATGCACAGGTGCGGTGGCCCACAGAGGCGCCGGTGTGGGGCCCCCAGAGCCACCGATATAGGGCCCTAAGAGACACTAGTATGACCCTCAAAGGCGCCGCTGTGTGACGCTCATAAACACTGGTGTGGAGCCATCACAGGCGGGTGGAGCCGTTAGAGGCCGGAAAGGGCCCTTAGATGCCTACCAGGAGCCTTCAGAAGCCGGCGTGGCACCCTTATGGGGATAAGCGTGTCTACTTAGGAGCCCTTGAGGTGCTCTCATGAGCTCTGTGGGGCCCTACCGAGCCGAAATATGGCCACGGCCAGTTGCCGCCGCATGGCTCTTCGGACTATCATTCTCAGGGGCCTCATCTGCTTAGTTTGAATAGAAGGGCCTCTCAGACCATCAGTCTCATGGGCCTCCTCTGGCTAGTATAAATAGAATGTCCTGTTAGACCATCAATCCTAGGGGCCTCCTCTGGTTAGTATAAATAGAAGAGCCTCTCAGACCATTAATCTCAGGGAGCTCTTGTGGACAGTATAAATAAAAGGGCCTCTCAGACCATCAGTCTCGGGGGCCTCCCTAGAAAAGTGTAAATGTGGATAGAGGGCCCCTCAGATTCATTAGGAGTGGACCTCTCTGGCTATCAGTCTCAGGGGCCTCTTGTGGCCAGTATGAATATAAGAGCCTCTCAGACCATCGGTCTCAGGGGCCTCTTCTGACTAGTGTGGATAGAGGGCCCTCCCAGACCACCGGTTTCAGGGGCCTCCAGTGGCCAGTTATATGAACAGAAGGGCCTCACAGCCATCAGCCTCGGGGGCCTCCTCTGACTGGTGTGAATATGAGGGCCTCTCATACCATCAGTCTCAGGGGCCTCCTCTGCCTAGTGTGAATATAAGGGCTTCTCAGGCCATCACTCTCAGGGGACTCTTCTGACTGGTGCCGGATTGAGGGAACTCCCAGACCGAAAGTTTTGG